GGGTAAGAGATCAACTGAAGGACTTGTATGCATGCATATAAGCATAACCAATGGACATAAGACACTGGGGGGTAGGGGAGGCCAGGGGATTGTCAAGGGCGGGGAAAAAAAAAGGACACATATGTAATACCCTTTGTAATACTTTAAGCAATAAAAAAAACACAAATAAATATATTGTCAAAAAAAAAAAAAAAAGACAATAACATAGATCTCAGCGAATAAGGGATTACTCTGCGCCAGACACAATACCTGGCATTTCACGGGTTACTTCTTATTTTTACAACAGCCCTACGAGGCAGGTAGCGTTACCTCCTTTACAGAGATGAGGAGAATGCAGGCAGAACGAACTGTGCTGAAGTAAACCTTTTTCTCCCCGGGCCCGCGGCTCAACCTGCCCCCACCTGCCTGCCCAGCCCCGGCCTGGCCTAGAGGAGAATTCAGGAGCCCACTCACCCTCTGCCGTTCGTCTCTGGTCCACCGGCTGCCGTCTTTGCCTCCAAGGCGCTGTTGAAGTTGGAGATGTTTTCAGAGGAGTAGAGGCCGGAGGGGTTGTTGTACTGGTTTGTGATGACCCTGGGGGCAGAGCCAGAGGCAGGCGAGGCGGTGAAGGGCATGGCGCTCCGGTTGTGGGCACTTCCTATGTGCAGGACCTCCTGCAGGCGGAGATCAGAGGAGAAATCAAGGCGGGGGCATCCTACATACCCTCTCAATGGACAGTGCCGGCCGAGGGAGGGAGACAGGTGTTCCATGAGCTCCAAAGGCCCTGGCTCAACGCCAAACTTCAGCTGAGGGGCTCCAATGTACCCACTAGCCATGGGCAACAGCCAGGATTCTCACAAGCTGGGTGCGCGGACAGGTTCACATGCCAGCTCCGCGGTCTGGCTCTCCCCTGAGGCTCTCCCCTGTCACCTCCTGATGGGGAGCCCAGGGCAGGATACCCCGGGTGCCCTGAAGCTGAAACACCCTTCCAGGGCACATTCCGGGGGGACTCAGGTACCAGGAGGACAAGAACAGGCAGTCACTTCTGGGCCAGTGCAAAGCAAGAGGTGCTAAAAGGTGAAGATAAAGTTCCCAGAACAGAGAGGGTTAGACAAACAAGATAAGAGGGCTGTGGTGACACGGGGCAGAGACGGCCTGGGCGCTCCCACAGAAGGGGGCCGGAGAAACCCCAGAATCCGTGGTTTCTCGTGGGAGGACAGGGCCGATCAGATCAAGGATGGGGGCTACCTGTCGCAGGGGCGGTGCCCAGGGGAGCTGCAGGAACAGACTTTGGTTCCTTCTGGGCCCGTTCCCCTCCTTCCGTCATTTGAGAAAGCTCCCTCCACCATGACGCTGGCTTGTCAGGAGTTATGGGTAATTACTACAGCTACACCTCAGAGCTTCGTTACAAACAGCCAAACATTTGAAAACTAACATGTGTTTTATTTAAAATCCCGGCTTTTCTGATGACTCAGTGAGCAAGGTGCTTTCTACCCAGATCTGGGTCTCCCTGCCTCCCAGGCAACAGAACGCTCTGTGCCACCTACTAAAGTCAGCTGGGTCCTGTTTTCGGGATTCCCCAGAAATCTTCCTGAACCCCCTGGTCTCTTTCTTAACACCCAGGCCTAGAGCAGCTGCCCTCCCCCGCACCCCCAAAGAGTTTCTGTCCCTTACTGCTCTTCCTTTTTTTTCTCTTTTTTTGCTAAACCTTTAAGTCTTTCACACTTTCTTAGAAAACGTTATGACGAAAAGTAGCAGCTTCATCTCCTGGGCACTGATTTAAAATAGAAGACGACACTATCCGACAGGTCAGAATCAGTGAGGTTTTAACTGTATAAATGACGTTGAGTTTGCTTTGTCCCCATTGGACCGAAGTTAACTACACACAGATGGTTCACAAAAGGGGAAGTAAGTATAATTAGCTGAAAAAATAACGTTAGCACTAATCAAAGAATGGTTAAGTAAACTGTACGGCACCACTCATCCAAGAAATAATATGTAGTCATTAACGGCAGCAGACGAGCAGACGGGAGGCCTGGGAGGCCTGGGACTTGGGCCCATGACGGGGGCTGCCCTCCAGCACTGCGGGGAGACCACAGCTATAGCCAGGAGTGCAACTCCTCCCTCCTCTCAGCATCTCCACAGCAACTCCGAGGAGCAACCCGGGATGCTGAGCACCAGGAAAGAGCCCTTATTTTTCTGTCTCAGCTCAGTTTTTCCCTGTTGCTTCCTGTTCAGCTTTGGGCAAGTTATACCTCTTTCTCAGCTCATTTCTCATCTTTAAAATGAAGTAATAAAGTCACTTTCGCAAGGACTTGGTGTGAAATCTTGGTGTGCCAAGCACAGTGCCTGGCACACAGAGACATGCAACCAGTGCCCCCCCCCCCCATAGAAATACATCTTCCATTCGAATGGAAGTCGGTAGAAAATGCAGGTTGGAAACTCTGGTTTTCCCTTTAGAGTGAATCTTCCAAGAATATATCTGTTTTGTATATAAAAGGAGTATCTGTAACCCCATGTGAATACTGGTCTTTGCAGAAGTCAGGCGGTTAATTCAGGGCCTGCCTTTTGGAAGGGATGATGTAATTGTTTGGGCTTTGTATTTATCCGTTGCCTAGGAAACTCAATAATGAGGAAATATAAAGTAGGTGTGTAACTGCTCTGACCTCAGATAAGCTGGGGTGTTGGCTGGCTTTATATGAACTAACAGATCTTTTAACTATAGGTGAACTCTGCTCCTACTCACTCCTCTATTTTAGAACGAATGGAAGTAGAGAATGAAAAAAATGAAAAGTGGCAAATTTTTCATATGAACAAAAAATTACTAGAATCAGAAGAAAAATATACTCAAGTTAGAAGTTAAAGTATTTGAAAATTTTTTTAATCTGATGAGAACTACCTTCAAAATATTTAATACAACCCTGACTGGGTAGCTCAGTTGGTTAGCGTGTCGTCCGGATACCCCAAGGCTGCGGGATCAATCCCCAGTCAGGTTACAAGAGGCAACCAATGAATGCATGGGTAGGTGGAACAACAACTTGATGTCTCTCTCTCTCTCTCTCTCAAATAAATAGATAAATAAATATTTTAAAAATGAATACAGGTAACCAGATTATATGTTTAAAATGCAAATTCAAGTATAATACATACAAAATACAACTGAAATTTAAGTATTACTTTAAGTGAAAACTAGGATTTTAGACAGACCAAATTAAAACAAAATCATTCCTTCTGTCTTATAAAATGTATGAGATTTAACACATTAAAGCGTAACATTTACAGTGAGTTTAATGAAGTGGCTGGAACTCCCTGGGCGGCTGGAATGAACTGTGGCGTGTTTTCAATTAGTTTGCACAACTGCCAGTTCGCAGACGGAGCCCATGCTATGAGCTGCCCTCACAGGAGCTGCCCAGAGCAGCAGGTTCCTGTCCGTTTAGAAATCTCAGATGCAAAGTGATCCTTACTGTGACTCTTAGAGGACTGGTAAGTATGATTTTTATCATATTAATAGGGAAAGTTTTGTGATTAGATTTCTGACATTTTAAATGGAAGCCTTTTGAGACAATATTGCTTACATGCAACCACTCCATTTACCCACGCTAATGCACCCAGGGAGTTCAATTTCATACAAGTTCCTGGTTCATGTATGAAAGCTAGCTAGCTACATTATCTTATCTTTTTTTTTTTTTAAGGGATTATTGTAATCAAATAGTGTTTCTTTTCTTTTCATTTTTTTAAAATATATATATTTTATTGATTTTTTACAAGGAAGGGAGGAGAGAGATAGAGAGTTAGAAACATCGATGAGAGAGAAACATCGATCAGCTGCCTCCTGCACACCTCCCAATGGGAATGTGCCTGCAACCAAGGTACATGCCCTTGATTGGAACCGAACCTGGGACCTTTCAGTCCGCAGGCTGACGCTCTATCCACTGAGCCAAACCGGTTAGGGCTACATTATCTTTTTTTATTATATCTCAATTCACCATAAAAATTAGCACCCCAAATTTAAAAAAAAAAATTAAAGTTCAAATCTTCAATTGGGATTAAATCGATAACAATCACAAACTAGTCAAAAAGAAGTTTTTAAAAGCAGTTGTCAATTTACTTATGAACTTATCATTAATAATTCATTATTTATCCAGTAGACACATATTTGTGAAAAACGTATGTTGAGTATATGGAATTTAACTGTCCTAACCTTTCTTCTTTAAGTTTTTTCCCTTATTTAAAAAGGAATGCCCATTCACTGTAGCTTATTTAGAAGATGTAATTAAGGAAGAAAGTAATAAATCACCTATACTCTAAATACTGAGAATTATTTATAAATATGGGATCCTAGGACAGTCTACTTTCTTTTTTTAAATATGTTTTTATTGATTAAAGGAAGGGAGAGGGAAAGAGAGAAACATCAGCGATGAGAGAGAATAGAATCATTGATCAGCCGCTTCCTGCATGCCTCACACTGGGAATCGAGCCTGCAACCCAGGCATGTGCCCTGACCAGGAATCCAACCGTGGCCTCCTGGTTCATAGGTCGATGCTCAACCACTGAGCCACGCCAGCTGGGTGGGACAGTCTACTTTCCCAGGAAATTCACACTGTGCATTAACTCCCTACCACAATTTTCACTGTGAATTACCACTTCATTTTAGTAATTTTAAGGTCTCACTAGAAGTCTCACTGTAACAAAAAGAGAGACCTGCACCCTAAGGATCATGGGAATTAGACAGTGGGAAACCAGGAGAGAAGCAGAGCTTACTACAGACCTTCCCCTTAGCTCCTCCAGCGTCCAGGCCTCGAGACTCAAACTTACTTTCACCCCCAGCATAATTCATTTGTCTCTGACGTCCATAGTGAGTTGAGTCAGCTCCTTGCTTTTACATGGTCCCGCCACCCCATTCTGCACAGGAAGGCTTCCACCCGCTTCCCATAACGCCTTCCTACCCCCGCTTCCAGCCCAGGCCAGTGTCACAGCCTTGGGGTTTTCCAGCCCTTTCCTCCTGCAGTTCCCTTACGGGAAGAGCTGAACCGGAGCCAGGACCCAGCACGGACAGTGGAGGGCTCTCCCTGCCGTCTGATCTCCGGGCCTCCCAGGCAAGAAAACACGGGCGTCGTCTTGCTGGGTCGTGCGAGGAGTGGCAGTGGAGGACAAGTACTTACTTGCGGTTCAGAGGCTAAGTTCATCTTGTACGGATGACGTTTCCCTTCCTCTGTCACGAGAGGAGACCAGACTTTATGTTCAGATCTGCAAGAGATGGACAAAGCTGTTCTTTTCATGCACGCTAAGTAAATAATACACACCAAAAGCAGAATGGGAAAATGCGCCCTCCTGCCTGACTCCTAGGCTCTGAACCAGCACCCGCCACCCGCCTTCCCCTCCACTTAGCCACCTTGATCCTTCAAAAGCACCAAGTCTGATTACATCGTGTCTGACAGCTGCCCACGCTCAGCCCTGAGGGGCTTTCCAGCTGCTGGGACTTCGCGAGCCTCGACCTCCCTCACTGCCCTCTGTCTCGCTGTCCCTCAGCCTCACTGACCTCCTCCTTGCTCCTAAGCATGCCTCATGCTGCCCACCTCTGCTCAGAACAGAACGAGCATCTCCTTTCTCTCCCCCAGTGTTCTCGATCCAACCTGCTAACCAACTTATTCCTGAAGCTTGTCTGGACCCAATAAAAGCGATGCCTCCTTTATTGAGTTTGCAAAGGATTTCTTTGTACCAATTGCAATCTCAGTCTGGTCTCATTTTTCATTAGTGTAGGTTTTTTTCTCTCTTATGGGGAGAGAATATTTTACTTATCTTTGTACTGTCAGAGTGCCTAGCACAGTACAATTATTTTACTCAAGCAGAGAAGTAAAATCTGTTTCAATTTGTTGGTAAACGGGTCAAAAATCAATTAAACTATCTATATATATAAAACCCTAATATGCAAATAGACCGAATGGTGGAACAACTGAACCGGTTGCTATGACATGTGCTGACCACCAGGGGGCATGCGCAAAACATGGTGGGGGGGGGGGGGGGGGGGGGGGGGGGGGGGGGGGGGGGGGGGCGCACCAGAACAAGGCGGGGTGCCGGTCACTGTTATCGGGACAAGCCTCTGGTGGTTACTGAAAATTCTTTGCTCCTGTGCACCACTGTCCTGCCAGGCACTCGCACCTGCTGCTGGCGCTGGCGCCGGTCCTGCTCGCACCAGCCCTGATCACTTGGCGCTGTCAGCAGGTGCAAGCAGAGGCTGCCGGCCCCGATCGTCCCTCACATCCACTGCTGGCACCAGCCCCAATCGCTCCGCACCATCAGTGGGTGCGAGCAAGGCTGGCACCATCAGCGCATGAGAGCAGCAGCGGCGGGAGGGGCCGGGCAGGAGCACGGAGGATGGGCCAAGATCCGCCCCTGTGCCCACTGCAGCCTTGCAGCCCACAGTTCCTTTCAAGGGGCACAAATTCGTGCACTGGGCCCCTAGTTAATAAATAAGTGAGTGAATGTCAAACTAAGGCTTGAAGGAGAAGATTTGGACTGAGGGAGAAATGGAAAAGAGACTGAGGGGGTAAATGAACTTTTGAGGGGGTAGTCATAAAATGTGTACCTCCCATGAGGATAGGGCACTGACGTGTACAGAATTTTAGCTATCCTGCCCCGCACTTGGTCCTCCCACCAGTCTTGTGGTGCAGGTAGAAAAAAGCCAAAAACCTATTCACAGATGAGAGCCTGAGCAAAGGGTTCGTGATGAAGAGCTAAGGTTAATGAGACATTAAAGAGCAGGTAACATAACAAATCAGAATGAAGAATGGGAACTTGATCCAACAGGAAATACGGAGCCATCAAGGTTGAATCAAATCGCTTCTGAAATCATGCTTTTTCCTTCCAAGACTCAACAAAAGAACGGGAATTCTACCCCAATCACCACTCCCGGTGCGCACTCCCCACTCACCAGCCTCTGAGAACAGGCAGCTCTCCTTTCTTGCTGTGTCCCTGAACACACACTCAGCACTCTGCCTAGAGGGTTGCTATCTTTCCCTGTCACTGTAATCTCCTGGCGTAGTACCCACTGCTCGGCCTGGTGTGGCAGGAGCCACATCCTGAGCAGATTCTCAATGGTTTCCATGAAGTTTTCATTTCATTATACTTGGCAATAGTTAACGATCTTAGTTCCTCAAAGCGGTACTGGATCAAGTAAAAATGCAGAGCCCTAGCTGGTTTGGCCCAGTAGATAGAGCGTCGGCCTATGGACCAAAGGGTCCCAGGTTTGATTCCAGTCGAGGGCACGTACCTTGGTTGCAGGCTCCTCCCCAGCGCAGGCCCTGTTCTGGGCTCGTGCAGGAGGCAACCAATCGATATGTTCCTCTCACATCCATGTTTCTCTCTGTCTTTCCCTCTCTCTTCCATTCTCCCTAAAAATCAATGGAATAATATCCTCAGGTGAGGATTAACAACAACAACACAAAAAAAAAAAATGCAGAAAGACGCCCACAATATAAGAAGCACTATGACAATTAGAGGGGAAATAAGCAACTGAAATTCCAATTCCACAGACCTTTGTAATTATTATTTTTTAATCCTCACCCAAGGATTTGGTTGTCTCCTGCACGAACTCTGACCAGGGCCAGGAAGGAGCCTGCAACCGAGGTACGTGCCCTCGACCGGAATCAAACCCGGGACCCTTCAGTCCGCAGGCCAACGCTCTATCCACTGAGCCAAACCGGCTAGAGCAATTCCACAAACCTTCTGACCTGCCTATGGATACATGGCACTGAGCTGGGGTGTAAGGGACTCTGAGATGGGAGAGGCCGTCCTTGCCACAGGCAGCTTCCAGAGGATCCGAAAAGAATGGGTGTTTCCCTGAGCCTTACCTGGATACTGTGAGAGTCATGTTGTCTACACAGCCCTTGATTTTGTTCTGAGCTTCCAAGTGCGTCATATTGCTGGTATTTTCCCCATCGATGGCTGTAATTATATCTCCAATACATAAATTAGCTATAGCAGCCTTGCTTCCGGGAGTAACCTGGAAAAAGGGAAAGAGCTAGTTACTACTCGTCTCCAAGGCAACCACTGAGTAAGCCATCACCAGGTTAAGTATTCACGGATGTGGAACAAAGCATGTAAAGAGGAAAGGGACTAAAATCGTAAGTGTCGATAGTAACAAACCTTTAAATTTGTGGAATGCATTATGGTTTACAAAGTCCTTTTCTCTATACTATCTCATGGGGTCCTTACAACCACCTGGTGAGAAAGGACAAACACCAGTCCCCATTTTAGAGACCTAAAAAGTGAGGCTTAGAGAGATCTGAGACTTACCTGGGGTCACCCAACTTGCATATTACTATAAGGGTGGGGAAAAGGAGGCTGACAGTTGTGAGTACGTGAAACATACAGTTTATTCTTATATTATTATTTATTAATTATTGTCTTATTTTCCATATGATTACAAACTTACTTTTACCCCACCCTGTATTACTACTAGTCATCCAACTCGTTTATTGCAGAGCTAGGACTCAAAGCCTGAAACCAGACCACTGAACTTTGCTGCTTCCTTAAAATAAATTGCCCATTACATTAAAAACACACACACTTAGACAACATTATGTACAGTAACACCTGTGCCTATAAAAGCCTTAGTAATTAATGTTATTTACGCACGGAAACAAATTGGAACACTGCACACCAAATTGTTCAGTTATACATTTCTGTAATGTTTCTGGTTTGTACAATGAGCTTGAATTACTTTTGTAATTAAAAAAAGCAATAGCCCTGCCCTAACCGGTTTGGCTCAGTGGATAGAGCGTCGGCCTGTGGACTGAAGGGTCCCAGGTTCGATTCCGGTCAAGGGCATGTACCTTGGTTGCAGGTCCCTTCCTCTCTGTAAAAAATCAATAGAATATATATTTTTAAAAAGTCTGTAAATATTTAAATAAATAAATAAATAAATAAATAAATAAATAAATAAGGCAATAGCCCTAGTTGGTTTGGGACTGCAGAATAAAGGGTCCTCAGTTGGATTCTAGTCTAGGGCACATACCTTGGTTGTAGGCTCGATCCCCAGCTGGGGTCAGGGCATGTGCGGGAGGCAACCGATCGATGTGTCTCTCTCACGTGGATTTTCTCTCTCTGTCTCTCCCCCTCCCTTCCATTCTCTCTAAAAATCAATGAAACAATATCCTCAGGTGAGGATTAACAACAAAAAGGCAATAAAAATATTTTTAAATCTGTAGAGTGGGTTTAGTATTTACACTGGTTCATTTCCTCCCACCCAAGAAGTTGGCTATGATTAGGGGGCTGGTTTACTGCAGGACAATGCTTCTGAGCCAATGGTTCCAAGTTATTGGGCCCCCAATGCTTGGGGGATCGAATCAATTACTGCAATGGGTCATCAAAATCCATCTGCCTACTGACTAGTACATGTGAACTGAAAAAATATCATGCCTCACACACAGATGTCCAACCATTTTTCAAGTAAATACAGATGCTGTAGTGTCTCGAATGAAATACAAACTCAGTGTGACGTAGTACTAACCTCAGCGTAATTTTTTGTTATTAGGTTCTATACTAAAATTATTACTACCAGGCCAGTGTCATTCCTTGACTTTGACATAAAAGACTTTCCTTAAGCCCTGGCCGGTGTGGCTCAGTTGGTTGGATGTTGTCCTGTACACCAAAAGGTTGCCAGTTTGATTCCCCGTAAAGGGCACATGCCCAGGTTTGGGGCTTGATCCCCAGTAGGGGGTGTGCAGGAGGCAGCCGATGCATGTTTTGTTCTCCCTCTCCCTTCCTCTCTTTCTAAAAATAAATAAAAATATTTTCTTAAAAAATACTTTTCATAATGAGAATTCCACGTCCCCCAGCAGCAGAGTGATGGCCACACACCCAGACTCCCAGCGACCACAGGTCGTGGCCTCTCCTTGGAGAGAACCCTGGACACCTGGGAGCCAACTGACGAAGATCTTGTGACGCGTGCGCCTCTGTAAGGCTGAACGAGAGGTAAGAGGCCCTTCAGGCATCACAGCAAGACACAAGGCTCAAGCCCTAAGCCTCCATAGCTGGTGTGGTTTCAGCCGCCAGTTTCCAATTTCACCTCAATGAAAAGGCCGGCACCTCCGAGGTGGCTGGTGCTCCTCATTAGCACCGACCACCATAAAATGAAGGGGGGATGACTTGATCCTTGAGGTCCCTGCTGGCTTAGACATGCTGTGACTGTACCAGGCAAAACTCCCCTGGAATGCAGCAGGACGTGGAAACCAGGGCAGAGATCCTGACCTCCGAAACTTCCTTTCTGGCTTTCCCATCATCCATCGACCAGAGGGCCAAGGTCAGACCTTTTCTCCCCCAGCCCCTGGGGAAAGACATGCGCACAGGCAGGCGTGACTGCTCTCCTTCAGTCGACATGGTGGAACCAGCCTGAATCAGCAGCACAGGCAGTGAAAACAAATTCCTCTCCTGAGGAGACTGATCTGACATCACTTCCTATATAGCTCAGTTTTTTCTAAAGAACAGCACACCCCTTGTTTAAAAAATGGCCCCAGGGATCACTTCATTTGGGGTTAGCAATGCTTCTAGATTGGCAAACTCTGCCTCCAGAGAACGGAGCCTGATCAAACTTCTTTCTATGACCAAATCTAGTGGTGCTAAAGATAAAATCCAAAAGCATCAGCCAGGTGCCTAACGACCATGCCTCCCTCCTAACCAACTTCATGCCATCCCCCCACTAAGTCTAGCTACAGGGGTCCTTGTTTCTTTCCCACTGCGGGACCTTAGCACCTGCTACGGCCTCTGCCTAATGAACGTCTCACCCTTCAGGCCTCAGCTTCAATAGCCTTTCTCAGAAGCCTTCCCTCACCTCCAATCTAAGTTAAATCGCCCACCATCCTTCTTCATCCAGGCACTGGTCACACTAGGCTTGTCAATCTGTTTTGTGGGTTAATTTATTTAATGTCTGAGAACCTACTAAACAGGAAGGTGTGTGAGGGCAGATCTTGTCTGCCTTTGGCGCTGTGGTATCCCCCGTGCCCAGCACCATGCCGAGCACATAGTAGGTACTCCATAAATAGTTGTCCAGTGAATGATTGAATCTAGAATATCTAGTGTTATTTAATATGTATTCATGCTTAATTTTATCCTTTAAAAAATGTGACTATTTTATCAGAGAAAGATAAATATCACATGATCTCACTCATTTGTGGAATATAATGAACAACATAAACTGATGAACAAAAACAGATCCAGAGACAGAGAAGCATTGATCAGACCGTCAAACCTCAGAGGGAAGGTAGGGGAGGGTGGGGGTAAGGGGGAGAGATCAACCAAAGGACTTGTATGCATGCATATAAGCCTAACCAATAGACACAGACACCAGGGGGAAGAGGGCATGAGTGGGGGGGTAAGGGGGGGCAAAGAGGGAATAAAGACACCTATTTAATACCTTAATCAATATAGAAATTTTTTTTAAAAGTGACTATTTTAAAAAGGGATCAAATAAGAATTTCTCTCAGCATGGATACCCTGGAACGTGACCACTCACAAAACTAAAATGATGGGAGTGGGAGAAAAGGTTTGAAAAGATGAAAAAGGAAGTTTCTCTTGATTTTACATATTTTCAAGTATTTCTCTTGAGATACTCAGCGGCTAAGAGCTCTGGAATTTCCAGCATTTGGTTCAAACTGTCCTGTGGGAGAGGCATTTCTGCTAAGAACATCCCACAGGTCCAGGACAAGCTGGAACCAGTCTCAAGAGCCCTGAGCCTGAGTAATCAAGGCCTGGCCATCTATCTTCCCATCTACTTTTTTTTTTTCTTCTTAAAGCCAAACTGATGAGAAGCCAAAGGAAATCTTAGAGTGTTACAAGACAACATCATCAGATGGGACTTGGATGAAATTACATGTAAACTTTTAAAATGGAAATAGACAAGTAACCATGTAAATGCAATGTATCATTTAATAGGAAGGTTTCAGAATCAATTTATGTAGCTAACAAAAAGAGATTAAATATATTGAATTAACTAATTAAAATTAATTAATTTTAAGAAATTAACTAAATAAAAATGAATTCATTCTTTTATGAGCTGTTGGGGTGTTTTTTTTAATGACTTAAACAAATTACAGATTTGCCTTCGCCTGGCCAGTGTGGCCCAGGGTTGAGCACTGACCTATGAACCAGGAGATTACAGTTCAATTCCAGGTCAGGGCACATGCCCAGGTTGCTGGCTCCATCCCAAGTAGGGGGCAGGCAGGAGGCAGCCAATCAGTGATCCTCTCTCATCATTGGTGTTTCTATCTCCCTCTCCCTTCCTCTCTGAAATCAATAAAAATATTTTTTAAATAAAAAATATGTATATTTGCCTTCTACAAAGCCCTTTCACACCCAATTTCCTCTTTGAGATTTTAATAATGATGACCTCACCACCAACATATAATATGACAGATGAGGAAACGAACCCACAGAAGCTGTGACTGACTCAAGTTCACACAGCTAACGGCTTGAGCCTGAACTTGACACCAGACTCCCTTTCTGCTTTACCACAAAGCCACAAGCAGATGCTCCGAGCCCAAAGCGAAAGAGAAATCCAGAATTAAGGGGACTCATCACATTCTACAAAAGGTACTGGAGTGTCACAGATCCTGCCGCTGCCTGGGTGCTTCCTGTCATAGGACAATCGGCTCAATTGCTCTGTGCTGAGCTGGGGCCCAGCAACCTCATCCCTTATAAAATATACAAATCAGAACATGGACTGAAAGGGCCTCAGGGAGACCTATCTCCAGCACCAGTTAGTCCCCATCTTGACTGGTGGGCTCCAATCCTTACTACACTCTCTATTCATCATAATCACCAGTTTTGGTCAAGGGTTAACTCACCAATCCTTGTGATACTATCAGGTGGGACCATTACGGCATCATTACAGATGAGGAAATGGAGGTACAGGGGTTAAGTGGTTTTCCTGAGGTTATTAGCTGGGGAGTGGCAGGCTGTGGGCCCCAGAGTCCATCCACTTAACCCAGTATGCCACAATGTCCTTTCTAATTTCCTCCTGACCATCAAATTC